AAATCTCTTTTAAAAGCTTTATAATAAAAGGGATTGAAGGAATAGATATTTTGAGTTTTGCAAAAATCATATGGGCATTTTTCCTTCCTTTAAAAACTTATTTTTACAAATATCTTTACTTCTTCCGATTATACGCAACCTTAAAAATGAAGTATATATATCTGCCTTGAATTTTTTCAAACCAACATCTAGATGGAATTAAATCATGTTTAATTTTCAATGCTTATATTTCTCAAGTGCTCAAATGCAATCTAAAAGCTAAAACGATCGGACTATTTTTATATTTTACTTTAATTATAAGAAATAGGAAAAATCAATTTGGAGTCGGAGATCCTTTTAAATCAGGTTCCTAAGCTTTTTTTTTCCCCCATTTTGTTTAATCCTCTAAATTTCTGCCGTTAGATTCGGTAGTCCTTACCATTAAATAAGTATTAACAGTCTTAAAAATTTTCGTTACATAAAATTATCTTATTCCCAAAAGAGGATTGTTTATATAATTCTTAATCCAAGTGTAAAGAAGGAACGAGAAGAAGAAAAGGAAAAAAAAATTATGGGGGGAAGGATTCAAATTCCAAAATAAACCCGTGCAAAACTTTTTTAAAGAAAATTATTTCATTAGAAATATGAATCCGTACAAAAACTGTATTTCATATGAAATATGAATGGAGATTTGAAGAGCTTAGCTGTTAGTCTGACACAGTATCACTCAGTTTCATAAAATTAAAAACTTGAGTGATGTTCATATGATAATCCAATAATATAAAAATAAAATTAAAATCTTTTCATGTATGAAGCAATAACATAAATTAAGTTAAATGGAAAAAAGAATGTATAATCACCTGATGCAGAAACAAGAAGAAAGAATACAAGAACCGTACTGAAGAGATATGTGTGAGAAACTCTTGATGCCATTCTCTCTCAACTTCAGTTTGCTTCTCAAAATTGATTTTTTGATTTATGGATAATAAAACTCAATGACTTATAGGCCTTTATATATAACTTTATGATTTTGGATGCTCTTAGAATTCCTCTTTCTCATTTTTTTCCCCTTAGAATCTCATCTCCACCCTTAAATGGAAAAAAAAAAATAGATGGTTCAAAATTAATATTTTAACAAATATGTTAACAAATAGATATCCACCTTCTCTCTCATTTTGATGTAATATTGTAATAATAGATTTATAAAATATCAAATTTCAATACTTCATTTTTTATCTAAAGGTGGAGATGAGATTTTGAGAAGAAAATAGGAGGGATTTTAGAAGATCAAGATCGATCACGTATTCTCAATAGCATACAACTTTATGTTCTAGATATCGTTAATTATAAATGATTAGATTAAATGCAATTAATTATACAGATTATTAATTAGTACATTATATCTTAAAGATAAGATACTAAAAACCAGACCGGCCAATGGGGTCCAGTCCAGTTTTTCAAACCATGCTTAAATATAATGCTTATCTAAATACTTGAAACAAAACAAAAGGATAGAAGGAATGTAAAGTGCTATTAATGACAAAACAAAATCTGATACGCAAAGAATGTATATGCCAATTCAAAGATAGGAGAATATTAAAATGAATATACTAGAAGTGGAACGTTTTTCTTTTCTTTTTCTTTTCCTTTTTTTAAAAAAAGACTAAGGTATAAATTTACTCCGAAAGTTTTCATTTGGGAATACTGAGCACCTGAAGGTTTTTTTTTTTAGTTGCAAATTTGTTCTAAAAGTTTAAAATCGTAGCAATATTACGATGTATTATTAAAAAAATAGCATTGACCGTTAAAATAGTAATATTGATCATTAACATTTTTAATGGTAGGGGGACAATATTACTATGATTTTAATCTTTCAAAACAAATTTGCACTCAAAAATCCTTCTAGGTACCCAGCACTCTTGAATGAAAACTTCCTGAACAAATTTGTAGCTTAATCCTAAAAAAACATGACACTTTTAAACCTAACAGCCTGGTGCGGGATCTCATCTCTGTCCTTGAGATTAAATTTGATCATCTAGATTAGATTTGGATAAATCTGGAGTTAAAGTTTAAATTTGAAAAAACTTGCAATTGCAATTAGTTGCCTAATGCTATCGTGAATTAAGAAAGGATTATGTATTATAAATAGGGTGAAGTTATAAATTTACTCCGTAAATTTTTACTTAGGAGCGTTAGATATCTAAAAGTTTTTTTTGGGTGCAAGTTTGCCTAAAAAATTTAAAATCATAGCAATATTATCCCCTATAGTTAAAAAACTAATGCTGACCGTTAAAATAGTAATATTAACTATTTTTTTAATACAATAGAAGACAATAACTAGCTACTACAATTTTAAACTTCTAGAAGTAAATTTGCACCCAGAAAAAACTTCTGGATGCCTAGTACTTGGGATAAATTTCAATCTTAACCATTATAAATATTATTTGAATAATCTTCTAAAATGATATTATCTTATTAAAAGAAATTAAGAATTTTAAAACATATCACGAAAATGAATTTAGTGATATACAAATTAAATTCACAATAGTTATGTAACGAAAATTGACGATTGAATTTGACAATACAGGGTAATCAATTAATGTCATTATTAATGCTGAATTTGAAAATTCACAAGAGTTATTTTCTAGATTCATAAGGCAAGTTACCTAGCAATTGTATGTACATGTGTTAAAAACCACGCTTAACCAATTGATGATGTGGCCTCATCATGTTGGGGAAACTCACAGAAGTTAACATCGATATGCACTTACAAGAAAGGGTTGAGAAGCAAAAGATTTTGATTTAACTTATTGTAAATGATTTTGTGCTCTACAAAATACATATATGAGGAGAGTTTTGTTTCATAATATGCAAAAGTAATTTGTGAAAGTAGTAATCCCAAACATGTATTTGCCACCATCTTCACCATCTTAGCCAATGTGATTTAATTCATGACAATGAATTATGAATTCGAATTTTAATTCATCCTGAATTTGAAAATTCACAAGAGTTATTTTCTAGATTCATAAGGCAAGTTACCTAGCAATTGTATGTACATGTGTTAAAAACCACGCTTAACCAATTGATGATGTGGCCTCATCATGTTGGGGAAACTCACAGAAGTTAACATCGATATGCACTTACAAGAAAGGGTTGAGAAGCAAAAGATTTTGATTTAACTTATTGTAAATGATTTTGTGCTCTACAAAATACATATATGAGGAGAGTTTTGTTTCATAATAAAATGCAAAAGTAATTTGTGAAAGTAGTAATCCCAAACATGTATTTGCCACCATATTCACCATCTTAGCCAATGTGATTTAATTCATGACAATGAATTATGAATTCGAATTTTAATTCATCATATTTTGAAGGATTAATTTCTTCTGTTAGACCCAATTCTTTGGTATCTTGACTCCTACGTTTAATGCTCTTGATTTGATTTTGATATACTTTTAACTCCTCCCCTTGTATACGTAATTAATCCTTGGTAGGCTAATGGCGTTTGATTCTGTAGGAACACCTTTAAGGTTTACATTGAGTATGATGCGTCATGCTAGTTATTTTACGCATTGTTTTCTTAATAGAAAAAGCAATCTTTCCCTTTCTTGATAAGAGAAGAAGACGAAATAGAACCAACCTGCAAAACTGTTAAGCAAAATACCAAATTACCCATGCTTTTTATTCTCCAGATTTTTGAATTCTTCAACTTTCCAACCCCACTTATAAATTGTGTAGCGTCATTTACTAGTCATATTTAAATTGTAAATTTTGAAGAGTGAAGATGCATCCAGCATCTTGATCTTTTTTCTTAAATACATCCAATATCCTTTTTTTTTTACAGTGCATCCAACATTTTGATCTTTTTTTTTTATATACATTCAGCACCTTGATATTATTTTTAGTACATCCAGCATTGTTTTTTTTTCCTTTTTCTTTTTCACTTTTGAGGTTTATTACTTTCGTGCTATCTTTATTTCAGTAGTCTATTTTATTTTGATTTCCACATATCCCTTGCGCAGATCAGATTCTCTGTCATTAATAGTCTACTTAAGTTTCGGGATAAGTATCTCACACTTAAGGTATCGCAAAATAAAACTAATAAAATTTCATAGATGGTTCTCACGGAAACAAAAATTGCAGAAATGGGCTAGAATATATTTTTAGTCCTTTAATTCACTACAAAAAAATAAGCTATTAGCGACGGAAATTAGCGACAGAAATTTCGTCACTAAATCTATTTGCGACGGAACTTAGCGATGGAATTCCATCAGTAAAGTATTAGCGAAGGAAAATATTCTGCCGCAAACAGCCTCGTCACTAATTGGTTTAGCGACGGACTTTGTGTTCGGTCGCTAATTTTGCGACGGAATATTCCGTCGCTAAATGCAGTATTTAGCGACGGAATTTCCGTCGCTAATTCTACGTTATTTGCCACGGAATTGGCGACGGAATATTCCGTCACAAAGTACCGCATTTAGCGACGGAAAATTCCATTGCTAACTTGCTATATTTTGCGACGAAATTTTCCGTCGCTAACTCACACACATTTGCGACAGAATTTGCAACATAAATTCCTTGCAAATCAGTCGCAAATTTTTTTTCTTCAATTGTTATGCTTATTTTTTGATTTGCAACAAAAAATTTTCAGTTATTTTTTTTAAATAGGTTTTTTTAATAAATTTTTTAGAAAGAAATAAATTTCATGATAATAAGTAAAGTTTTTAAACTGCAAATAGTTCAATTTTTTTTTATAAGAAACAATTTGGAATTTAAAAATAATCCCATACAATAAAATGTCATAAATTTAAGAACATTAAGGTTAAAACCTCAAGTATGAAGAAAAAGGCATAATAGGTAATGCAAAATGAGCCACTCATATCACTTTGCTCATTCTGATAGTCCTACACGAAGCCTCAAGTATGAAGAAAAAGGCATAATAAGTAATGCAAAACAGAAATTGGCAACAAGCACAACTTATTGCCATCGTCACCCTCCCAGCCCAGGGCATATTGGATGTGGCTTTTAACTATATAAGTGTTTGTTCTCATAGCATCCTTTTTTATGTTGACATTGAGAAAATGTTTGACCAAGTCGTATTCTACATTCAGTCAGGGCAAATGTAACAAAAGGAAACCATATCGGCTATACATTGCCAGAATACCTTCCTTACTTTAATTAGCTTCTTTTCCAGCTCTGCTTTGGCACGTAATCGCCTACGCCTCAGAATTCCATGGTACTGCTTGGCATTAATGTAAACAGGCTCCTCTGCAATTTCCAATGGTAAGACCATTTGTGTGGTATGAACTCCTATACCATGAGAATGCACCTAACATAGTTCCCAACAAAAATGAAGAGAAGTCAGATTAAAGAAAAATCTTTTTCTGGTATGATCACTAAACAATAGAAAAGCCAAAAAAATCACACAGCCTAAGCTACAAAGTCTACAATAACATTAATATTAACTGTAAAATGATCATCTATGAGCATTCTAAACAAGGACAAAATCTAGGTCTAATTTTCAAGTATTTGATATTAGTTGTACTAACAAACACATTATAAGTTGAACTTTTACATTATTATATGATTGAATCTTTGAAAAACAAGTGTCTCCATGTATAATATGTTCATTGAAGAACCTTGGCCCACGCCCAAAACACAGTGCCATGTGATGGAGGCTAACTATGTGTTTTGTGGCGGCTATTCGTTTCCAGCGAGTTCTAGCCAAGTGTAAAGTGAATAGAGTGGTTGTAACAATCACTTTGCTGAAAGTTGAGATTCATCTTCACAACCTTCCATAAAGGTTGTTTGCAGCACGTAGCTTGTCATAAAATGCTTGTGCATCAGGATTTGGCATCTCTTCAACACTTTTTATAGTTATCCCTAAAACTCGGCCCATCTGCATCCATCACCATGGTCTCATATTGACTTAATTGATCACCAAGTGGTCCACCTAGCATTGGAGACATGGATGAATGATATTCTATACTTCTCTCACCATGACTAGTCCATATATAATAGTTTGGCATGAATCCATATTTATAAATATTTGTCTTTACCTCATCGAGAATGAGATATGGCCTACATCTACATTTCACACATGGACACCTAAGCTTCCCCAATTTTTGGCAATAAGGTGATTGCATTGCATAAGTAAGAAATTCCTCTACACCTTGCTCAAATTCTATTGTAACCCATTTAGTACACGGATCTATTCTATTGTACATCCATCTTTGATTTTTTGGGCCTTCCATTCTAAGAAAGAGGTGTGCAATAATAATATGTAAGAATTGGAGAAGACAAGTAATATATATGGCAAACAAATACACACACACACATATATATGAATAAGCAAAGTTAAATGTCAACATTTGTATATGAAGAAACTAACAAGTTTTATTTAAGGACAACTCCTACCAAAGGTACAAGACTTGCTAAACAATCATTAATAGATAGCTTTGAAGTAAAAAAAAAACTGAAAAAGATTTTGAAAAATGTAAGAGATAGGAATGTATTGAGACTACCTACCAACAACAATCAAACAACATATATCAAGCTAGATAAAAAAACAAAACATTATACGTCAACCCAACTAACAGTTAAATGGTCACCTTACTTGAATAGTTCTACAACTTGTGTTTGGGTTGCCACTAGACCTCTATCTAACTCTATCAAAGGAGCTGCTGTATCTCAAATTATTATAATCCAACCCTACACACACAATCAGGTCAACAAATTAAAACCAGAAAAAAAAAAAAGCACTCACCAAGCAACCAAGCATTTCAATAATTGGTAAATATAATATAAATTAAGCATAAGCAACCAAGCATTTCAATAATTGGTAACTCTATACATAGACAATATATACGTACATCATAAGTCCCTTAATATTCTAAGCAACCAAGCATCTCATGTAATGACAGATTTTACATGTATTTGCCCAATTATGGCGTTGCAAAAGTGATGTAAATCTACATAATAGTTATGGAATGCTCAATCAGTAGGAAAGTGTTTTGCTGTTTCAGGTAATAATGCTCATAATGTTTGAGGCTGAAATTATAGGCATTTTGGATAAGATGTTTGCAATCTTTTTAAGTTGTAATATGCTAAGGGATTAACATCTCAGCTCTTGTTTATTTCCTTTGGAATGATCAATGCATATAGTTGGGGCTAGGCTTGTAGTAATAACTCAAAATCAGATTCTAATCTGATAGGATCTTTGACCATCCCAATGAAATGACATCCTAACAATATAAAATTAATAATACAATCAGAAAAAAATTAGAAATCATTAAAGCTAATAAACCATAATAAATTAAAGAGCTAAAGTTTTAGTGTTGAAATTGCATGCATATTGTAACATCCCTTTTTTTTTCTTTATCTTATTATAGGATTTAAGTTATATGGTTATGAGATTAGTTAATATTATTAGAATTAAATCTTATTGAATAACTTGAAAATTATAATTTCAGTAATATATAAATTATATATATATAAGAAAAAAAAATATACATATTATATATATTTTATTATTATATATAATATATTATATTATAAAAGTGGGTGGCACGTGGCCACCCACTGTTCGGTTGAAGGAAAGGGAGGGTTGATCCCGTGCCCTTTCCCTTAATCTTAAAAAAAAAAAAAAAAGGTGGGAATTTGGAGTGAAATAGTGGGTCACGTGACCCACTATTTGAATGTGTTTTCCTCCGCCTCACCGTTTCATTTGAAGAGTAGCGCACGCCCACTTCCTTTTTCCTCCTCCCCTTTTTTTTTTTCCTTTCGCGTCTCCTGGTTCGTCTTTCTTCCTCCGCCGCCGCGCAAGAGTGAGTGAGTGTGTGAGGGAGTTTGAGGGTGTGAGAAAGAAAGGGGTTTTACTTGGACACATATAAGATATCTAAGTAAGTCATCTTCATCCTAATTTTATTATTTAGCTCATTCTTTTTATTTTCTAAGTTATGGCAGAATGAATATTTTTAGGGCTTGTTAGATTTTTAATTTTTAAGGCTTCTAATTTAGTATTAGGATATTTATAGAGCTTATGTGGTTAGAATAAGAGTGTTATGACTTAGATTTTAGTTGGATGGTTGATTTGAGGCAATGTAAATTAGGGATTGGTTGGGAAATGGTGATTTGTATTAATGATGATATTAATTTCAAAATTTATCTCTTAGTTGAGTTCACTTGAGGTTATATTGAGGATCCAATGCTTAAACTTTGAGGATTGTTGTTGAAATAGTAATGTTGATGATTCTTGGAGAGACTTTAAGTAGTGGAAGTTGGGTGTTTAGAGTAAATTGAGGAAAATATTATAAGTTATTGATTCTAATGAATGGGAAATGATTAATGGAATAAGGGAATAGAATTTTAATAATGATTGAAGACATAGTTGATATATGGTTATTTTTCTAAGAGTTAAAGTAAGCACTTTTTGGAGATTTTTGGATGATTTGAAGGAAATATTCTTATTAATGATGTGAATGAGAGAAATAGAGTTGGGAAGTATTAGGAATTGTCACTTGGAGGAATAGATGAATTATTATTTTTCTAAAGATAATTTTTTAAGCAAGCCAATTATGGGGATTTAGTTGATAAACTATTTTAATGCTATATTAATTAGCCTTTTTATTAATATATGTTTATAAACTTATTGTTGTAGAGTGAGCTTGGTTTGGGCTCTTGGGTCTTGAATCCTCCTACTTTTAGTTCTTGTGTCAAGAACTTGAGGTAACCACTTTCTAATTTACCTTGTATGCTTGTTGATGTGATTATAAGCATGTGTTGATATTATAAATGTTCTCAATATGTGTTATGGTGGTTTTGTATGAAAAGTAATTTATATATCTATATCAAGATTTATGTTTTGATAAATTTATTAGTTAAGTGGGCATGAATTATTTCATCTTATGAATATCTTGTTGATGTTGAACAAACTTGATTATTGAATATGAGAATACTTTATGGATATGAAATTGTGTGGAATTGGATGGTTGGATTGAGGCTGTGTTGGTTGTGCTAAATGTAGTTGTGGGAGGTCTGATTATTTATACCACGTGGTATAGCCGCCACTTGGCGCCCAGTGGTTGGCATTAACATTCTTAGGGCCCTCGGTATCACCCTTCCTTTGGCCGGGTCAAGGGTCAGCCCAAGGGACATGACACCTTTCCATATTCCAAGGAAAGGGAACCCATGGTCCGATATGAGCTCTGTAACTTTTGGCCGAGTTACACCTCATTATTGGAGAGCTTGGTGCAGTCTTGTAAAAGAGACGAATCCTATTATGTGTGAATAGCCCATGGCTTCTGTCAGAGGTTACAAGGAGGTTATAAGGATGGTTGATGAAGTCCTATGCATGCAAGTTACTTTTTGAATTATTATATGTTGTTTTCTGTAAAGATGTTTAACTTATATGTTATTTGAAATTGTACTTTGCCCGCTTAACTATCTTGTAATCACTCCCTGGATACTTGTTGAATTGGAATTGTGGTTACTGGGTCAATTTGACTCACCCCGTGGTTATTTAACATTTTTCAGGCGAGGGTTCAGGTGTTGGTCCCAAGGGGTAGGTGTCCGAGGCTTGAGTTTTCCTTTCCACTCAGTATAGCCTCTATTTTGATATACATGATTTGACTGATGTATATTGCCAAACTTTAGGGCCTTTTTGTTTTAGTTAACATTATCATAGCCTTTCCGCTGCATTCTAGACTTGTACTATTGGGCGGAGCCCTTTTTGGACATATGTGATTGTTATTTTGATTGCACTTGATAATGGGCAGCAATGGTAGTTGTTTTGGTGGACTTCAAATGCCCTAGCCCATTTACAATTGGTCTTAATTGTATTTGAGATTTCAGAGTATTGCTGATGGATTTGATATATACATGAAAAATCAAATGTTGATCCTTTCTTATTTGATTAACTATCTTTACTATTCTGGAACAGTAACTACTACTCTGTTAAAGATTTGGTTTGTTATTGACTATGGTAGATTTCTATTTGATTAGGTTTGTCCTTCCTACCATGGTTAGCCTTTTAAAGCAATTATCCTTTTGAAAAGGTTTATTTACCATGAATTACGGCGGTTGTTACACATATTGAAAGAATTTTGTAAAAGTATAAGTTTAGTGATGGAATTCAATTGATACATGTTAGTATCGATATACTGGTCCCCATGAGGTTCTTAATGAAGATTCCCCTACTACAAGTATTTTTAATTTCTTTTAAATCATGATGAGTCTGATACATCATTTGCTTGCTAGATTAATAGTATTCCAGTATGTTTTGGCCATATCCAGGCAATACTCTTCATTTATATTTTACACTGACAGGCTCGTCATAAGTTACCAAATGCCTTGAAGCATTGCAACTGTAAGACCCTTAACCTCAAAACATTATAACTCGTCATAAGACCACTACTATGGTAGAAAAAGAAAGATGTTACAACAACTACCATAGTAGAAAGAAATTGCGTAATTTTAGAAAATTAACATTTAAAACTTGGTTCCATCTCAAATGCAGTTGCATGCAACTATCATCATTCAATCACAATCACTGGGCCTCCGAGCCTCCGGCCCGGGTAACGACATACATCAAAATCAGCCCATCCCAATAGATCTCAACCACGAATAACAAAATTTCATAAAATAATAGGAATGGCCTCCGGCCAACAAAACGAGTAGATAATATATTCTCCAGTTTACAAAATTAATAAAAAGGGGCCTCCGGCCCAATTGAAATAAGAAGAAAATACACTTCCTCCAGTTTACGAATAAATCGAGCAATCAAAATAGTTTAAAAGGACCCTAAACGTGGCAATATACAACTATCCATACATAAATAAAGCTAGAGGCCTAAAGCTAACCAAGCTCAAGCCTCTGCGTCTCTTCCCGAAGGCGCACGCCTAGAACCTTCACCTGAAAATATTGTAAACCACGGGGTGAGACAAAGTCCCAGTAACCAACCTTTCCAATACTAGGTACTACTAAATAGGTGCTCGTGAGGTGTCAAGTGGGGCAGTTCACAAATCATATATATATATATTGATAGCCACAACAATTCATGCAAGTGCAATGATGCAATCCCATCAATCAAATCCCTCACTTTGGGGGATTTTCAGGAGCCGAACCCGGCCTATCCCTCACTATGGGGGACGTAAGGAGCCATAAAGGCCTATCCCTCACTCTGGGGGACGTAATGAGCCCGAAGGCCTATCCCTCACTATGGGGACGTAAAGAGCCAACCATCATGCATTAATGGAGGCCTTACCACGTGGTAGTAACTATCAAACTCTCACCAAATCCCAATTATGCATCATGCTCAAATCATAATCAAGAGTAATAATCATTTCACAATTAACCTCATTCAGTGGCATATCTTTCACAATTCCAAAATTCATTTCACAATTCCAAAATTCATTCATCATTAGTCGAAAACCCCACAAGACGGTTTTCCCTTTCTATATACAACATATAGTTTGAACACAATTACTACTTGGAGCACAAAACACAAATCTACTCACAATACCACAGAAGCAAGTACTAAGGATTGGAAAGTGGTTACCTCTCGCCTGAGCAAGGAACAACAACCAACGATGTGGCCCCGTGCACCACCAAGACTCACAACCGGTCTACACAAGCACACAAACACACAACCAACATATATTAGCTCTCAAACTAATAATGTGGCCAAAACAACACTTGGGGACACAAAATTC